CCTTGGAACAGCCCAGTTGGAAATCAGCTTGACCCAATTCAGAGAGAACCTGTGTGCTCAGCTCTTAACAGTGCAATATTAGGTAAGTAAAGCCAAAAAACACAGCTTCGTATAGATTCTCTGAATATTTGAGATGGTATTTGTGTTGGCATTTATATTTTGGTAAAATCATAAGGGAAATGTTTTCTACATTTTAAAAATTAAAATTACCTTAAAATATAGAAACCTTCCTCCATTATCTCAATTCCAGATTAAGTAGATTCAAATGGAAGAAAAACAGTACATTGGGGTACTTCTTGGGATGTTTGGAAAACGTAAGTTTTGGTGTGCATGTATGTAAGCATTTCTAACCTGAGCCACCCACATCACAGCTCCGCGCCATGCTTAAGATAGAGGCACAAGGGACTTCTAGGGGGCTTCTGAGTGCCCTGTCAACACCAGCCCTTGGAGTCAATTATATTTGCATTAAAGTTAAGCATATTTAAGTACATGCCCTCACCAAATAAAAAGGGTAGGGGAAGAGCAGGATAGCAGTTTAAATAGGCTTAGCCAGGGGGAGAAACTGGAACTTGCTGTGCCCCTTGTTGGTTGCCATTCCTCTGAGCAACCCACTGTAGCGTATGTTGTTGATGTACTGAACAAATACACTCTTTATATGAATTCTGTAACTGTACATTTTGTGCATTTAAATATAAAGTATAGGGTTGACTGTTTACATAAAACTTTTAATTTCTGGGCAATTCTTTTCAAACGTAATTTAGATGAGTGATTTTTCACCTGACTTTAGACTCTAACTTCCCAGGTAAAATGGGACTACCAGTTTAGAAGTTTGTTCTGTGCCGTTTAGCTCTGTCAGGTTTGGGGGCTTTTAGCAACATGTTTCCAACTATTGTAGGTATATCAGCGCAGTGCCACAGAGAGTAGACTAGAGAGTATTTACACAGGGAGACTCAGAACGAGGGTCAGGGCTCCTATAGACGGAATGTAAGAGAAGCAATTAGAAGTATTCAGGGGCCGGCCCCATGGCTGACTGGATAAGTTCGTGCGCTCTGCTTCAGCGGCCCAGGGTTTCACCAGTTCGGATCCTGGGCACAGACGTGGCACCACTCATCAGGCCATGCTGAGGAGGCGTCCCACATAGCACAGCCAGAGGCACTCACAACTAGAATATACAACTATGTATGGGGGGCTTTTGGGAGAAGAAGGGAAAAAAAAAGATTGGCAACAGATGTTAGCTCAGGTGCCAAAAAAAAAATATTCTGATTTGACCCTTCATCTCTTTCTTTGCCCTTATCAAATTCATTATTCATTGTGTGTAAAGGTCTAATACTGAAGTTTTGGACTAGAGTAGTGTCTTGTATTATACTTTTCTTGAATTAAGAATTTATACATAATAAATAATGTGAATTTTCTTTGCTCAATGTGTTGTATTTTCCTTGGTTATACGAAATTCATTTAGTTCTACTGGTGAAAATAAGAGTACTTAGTAGCAATGCTTGGATTGTAAGGCAGATTATGGTTTACTATAGTTGTCTTGTTGAAATTACATTATAGGTAATTAAGAAGCCCTAATTGCTTTGTATTTGGTAACACTCAGACTTGGAAAGAATTTCTGAAGAAGACAGTTTTTTATATCATGGGTTCTCGACGGAAATTACATTTTTTAAAATTAAATTACCTAGGACATTATCCAAGATAGATGTATGTAGGCTTACATACTGTGCTATCTATTATGTAGGTTCAGCTATAAATAGTGCTTAAATTTATTACATTAAAAGTATATAATTCCTACCAAATTAATGACAAAGATTGTTAAATCACTGTGGGTGTATGTGTGTATTTATACTGTGCCGTATTATAGTTTCATCTGTAAATAATGCTTAAAGTTATATTAATTGTATGTAATTCCTACAAGTTCCATATGCAAAAAACACTTTAAAGATGCTTACTGCCGCCCTTGGCCAAAGTAAAGTTGTTATAAAGTACCCTAGATGCTTACCTCTGAGCAAGGTTACTTCCCTGTGAACCTTCTGTTTATTCCATTATATTGATTTTGCGTAAAAATTAAATTGTTCTTGATTGAAATTAAGGTAAAATTAAACTATAAAGTCAGTCCTGTTTAGAGTTGGCAAAAAATGTTTATCATCATCAAAATTTGGCTAAATGGTGTCTTGCCAAACAACAGCCAGTAGTACTTTAATCTTAACCCACGGACTACTTTTCAAACCATACCTTCTCACCAATCTGTGCACCTTTTCTTAGGTATTTTTATTATTATATTTCTAATCCAGTTTACTTTCTCTCGTACTTTTAAATCTTGAACTTGCCTCCTTTTTATTTTTGTTTTATCCCTTTTGGAACTTTTCTTTCTCCCACCACATTGCAACCTGAGAAGCAAGAGTGGAATCGCAGCATATGGAGCCTTACCAGCCATGTCTCACTCACTGTTCTTGCCCTTTGTTCTCAGCTGTGTCTACAAAGGACTGATTAGTAATTTTATTAATTGGGAATCTACATAAACTTAAAATTTGGACATCTCCATAAAAGGAGAAATTACCAGCTTCTGAGTTTGGCCACTTCTACCATTAGTTCATTTTTTCATCTCTGGCAAAGAACAAATTTTGGTAATTAAACATTTGTACAACTGTCTGACAAAGAAATTTCTGGTATATAGGACTCTGGAAACTTTTAATTTATTGGCAACTTTTAAAATGTTTGACCTATCAATTGTAAATTAACCCCTCCAAAATTATGGAGTGGTTTTGCTCTATTTTCTCTCATGGTCCCCATGACCACTTGCTCTCCAGGAGAGCATTAGGCAGCCTCAGTTGGGTCCTGTCCCCAGAAGGGCAAGAATCCATCAGTGAAACTTTTACTGAAAACCTGGTGCCTTTTTCTCTGTTAATGTTAACTGACCTTGATCAAGTAGAAGAGAAATACTAAATATTCCTTACTCCCCACTACAAATACGAGATAAGAAATTACATCTTTCCCATCAGAGCTTGGAAGTAAAAGTTCCTGCATATCTAACACTTTAAAAGTCTAATTCTCCAAGAATTTTTCTTATACTTGAATACCAGTACCCATATTACATTGTCAGAGTAATGTGTCCATGGCGTTATTTGTGTAAAAACTACCTTTGCTAGTTAAGTAGTTGAGAGCATTTTAGGCATTGATGATTTTGTAAGTAATGCAATATTTTCCTGATTGAGAGATGGTTTTAAAAATGTCGTGCTAATTGCTATTTCCATTTTTAATCATTTTTCCTCAGAAACCCACAATCTGCCAAAGCAACCTCCACTTGCCCTAGCAATGGGACAGGCCACACAATGTCTAGGACTGATGGCTCGATCAGGAATCGGATCCTGTGCATTTGCCACAGTAGAAGACTACCTACATTAGCTATGCATTTAAGGAGTTCACACTTATATTGTGGCATATAGTCAACATGGAAGTAGACCAGCTCTGCTGATTTGAAATTTAGATTTTTTTAATTATGTACTGGGGACAGGTTTTTGTCGCTTTACATTGCTTCCTAGTTTACAGCATGATGCAAATGATTTTCTAACTTAGTGTTAGGAGAAATTATTTTCCATCTTTAACCTCTTAGTTGTCTAAGAGTTAAATATTACTGAATTTCAGACGTTCAAATTGATCATCACAAATCCTTTAAAACAATTACCTAAAAGAAACCAAAAAACCCTGCCTTCTTTGTTGGGGGGAGAGGGGGGAAGGAAATGGAACAAGTTGTGTTTGTGTTAGCATGTGGGTGGTGTAAACTTCAAATTGGGAGATGTTCTGACCCCCACTCCCATATAAGCATTCAATCAGTGTAACTTGCAAAATGCATAAACATCTGACAGTTTGAATTTATAGTGTTGATGGAAGAAATCATTTTTAATGTGTACTGTAAAACTTGAAATACTCAGGAGCTGAGTGAATATGTTTGTTGCTACTTACAATCCCAACCTGTTAGTCCCAGTAGTTTTGTTTTAACATGGTCTTTTTCAACTTTGTTTCCTGTTTAACTACAGACCGACTTCTGTTGTAGACTCACAAGTTTAACTGTTGTATTATAACAGTATTACATGTCAACAGTGTGGTTATGACCTTTATTTATATAAAAACCAAATATTTAGTCAATTTACCGTGTCTTAATTTAATCTTTGTACACCTTCCATTTTTAAGTGCTTAAATGAGTACTATATTGCAATAAAAATGTAGTGATATAATTAACCAGCCATTAAAAATTTACTTCTACAGATACTAGAGTGTCAGTTGAGTTTATATAATAGGGACTTTGCATACTTCTTATGATTAATATAAAATGAGAGCAATTGAAATGAATGGTTTCTACTATAAATTTGAGTTCTACAACCTAAGACTGCCTTTAGTTTACTGGCCTCCCTGGATTAAGGTCAAACCTGATACTGTAGGTGATACAGAAAGGAAACGGAAAACCTCCTGATTTTCATAATCATAATGTGGCATATGACTTGCCAGTAAAGCAAACCCCTAGACTGGTTTCAACAGGCCGTTCGACAGGATAAGCAAATCCTTTGGTTTGGCAAAGGCCTCTGTTGACTGTATTACACCACAACTTGAACCTTCTTTAAAAAGAACAAGTATTGATCTACACTTAGATACTGCACTCTTCCACAGTTAACTTCTTTCTTATTCCATATCCTATGAAACAAAGTCTCATCAATAGCACCAAAATATCCAGAAGACTTCAGGCATCTGGGAGCTGCAGCTGAAAGGACTTCTCCAGGATGTCCACTGCTCCTTTTCCTCCCTGCCACTCCCGCCACACCCCCACAGTGCAGGGATGGGGCCAGGTACAGGAGATGCCCTTACTGGTGTGGGTTTTGCTTGTATTCAACTAAATGCATAAACAAACACAAAAATAAAGGAAAACAATTCTTTTAAACTGCTTTTCCTTCCAGGACCCTCAAATATTACAAGGCGCAACTGTAACAGAAGTATGAAATGTGACTGGGTACTTCCCAAATAGATTTATTAACGAGCCTTTAAGATGATGTATAAATGATTTGTTAATTTTTTCAGAAAAATTCACTAAATAATCCTAAGTTCTATACATACAAAGTACTCGTTCTTCATTTAGCTCTGATTTACTTCTTAGAAGTTTTCATCCTTCTGACCATCCACCGTCTTTTAAACCTCTTGGCATTTTGTTTTCTCTGGGTTCCTAGAAGAGAAAGTTTTGTGCAGTAAGAATATTAGAGAGAGAAAATTCCCAAGAAGCAGTTCAAAAACTTTCAAGATTCTATATGAGTGTAAATACTAAAACTAGGTATATTAGAGTGTGTATCAGACATGCATACATACTACACTGACCTATTTTTCAGAAGCAACTTCATTAATATAGAAGCCATTTTAAGGAAAAAATGTGATATTTTATAATCATTTGGGCATTTACCATCTCCTTACAAAATAACATTTGGTATATAAAATTATCAGAGCCAAGAGCTGGATCTTACCCCAAGCGTTATTCAAAAACTGGGCTGCAGCCTTTTTCACTGGTAACCTCTTGTTGTCAAGAGACAGGAACTTATTTACTAGAAAAGAGAACTACTTATCATTTCTTTGTTTTATTTGCAGTAGAAAAGGGAGGAAAAACAGTCCATAAGGAAATTACCAGTCGTTCTGTTGGTTCCTGGACCATATAAACAATTCTGTATGAAGGCTTTGGCTGCTTCCTGCCTTGAATCTCTCAGATCTTGGTCTTTGAGCCTTACAGCCAAGTAGCTTTTATTGTGGCTGGTGATCAATACAAAAGGTAAAAATGAATGAGATTGATAACGTGCTTACTTTCAAAATAAAGTATTTTTGTTAGCTGTCTCAAAGTGAAAAAAAAAAAATCAAAACTTTGTATATGCACACATAAGATGAATAAAACTAAATTACAGGCTTTTTTCAAGAAATAGACTGATATTTACATTTTAGTAAAGCAAATGTATTTTTATATAAACATCAAAATTAATTTTTCCAGAGGACCCGATCTGAAACTGCTTTAACTGTCTCCAAAGGTCATCTTTATGTCCTACATGAACAAAAGAAGACTCTTCTTACCCAACAGACTGTACTTTTTGCACTTTTTCTTTAGTTTTCTTGGAGTCACTTCCTTTTTCACATTCTTCATTTTTCTTTTGCAAAATAACTAAAAGATTGAGTTGTATTTCTAATTATCATTTATGTAAAAATAAATCAGGTACATTTACTGGATTTCACTTTAAATATCTGCTACACACTAATTTGGATGTGATTTTTATTTATAATAAATAGAGGGAACAGGCCCAAGCTACACTTGGCCGGGCCTATTCCCATGCTCTCTAAGGGCCAGTAAGATCTGACCGCAAAGATCTGCAAATGCGCTTGACTCTTAGATGAGAAGTATTTAAATTAGACTAGTTCATACCTTCTTTCAACTTCCCGGGTGATTTCTTTATGCTAATGAAGGACAGCAAAAAAAAACGTGCTTAGAATGGCAGAGATAAAAGATTACTCAACTACACAGTTTCATCTGATTTTACAAATAAGACACCTCTCTTTCATTACCACCATCCTCAGTTTTTACTTGGGATCTTTAACCAGTGTTGGAAAGCAAAAGTTACTGCCCAGTGCACTTCGAACTCCCAGTCCAAAAACTAGTATATACCAGGACAGGAGTAACTCTCAGAATTTAAAATCATGGGCTGGCCCCGTGACCGAATGGTTAAGTTTGCGTGCTCTGCTGCAGGCGGCCCAGTGTTTCGTTGGTTTGAATCCTGGGCGCAGACATGGCCCTGCTCATCAAGCCACGCTGAGGCAGCATCCCACATGCCACAACTAGAAGGACCCACAACGAAAGAATATACAAGTATGTACTGGGGGGCTTTGGGGAGAAAAAGGAAAAAAATAAAATCTTAAAAAAAAAAAAAAATTTAAAATCAATCTATCAGTAAGCTTCCAAGGACGCAGACTGTGTGGTTAGTGGAGTTAAAGTGAAAGACTTAAGAATGAGTTATCTAATAACAGTATTTGAAATATGAAGTGAAAGGTGGTAGGCCTGCCGCATTTGGAGAAATCACAAACAGTTTATTCAACAGTTTAGGGGTCTGATGGAGAAACATAAACTGACAATACAATGTGAGAGGCCCATACAGCAGCACTCACACTAAAAGCTGTACAAGGAGGAAGCAATGGTGGGGGGGGGGTGGTGAGAGAAGGAAGAGGTGACACTGGAGCTTGGTCTTGAAAGATGAAAGGGAATGTGCTACCACACAGATCCTATATATGTTTGATGTGTTCAGAATCTGAGTAACTCTTTAGAATAAGTTTTACTGAAAATTTGAGAGCCACTGGCCTAGGTAAAAAATATAGAGCTAAACCTCTGAACTTAAAGCAATAAGGGGAGACAAGGGGGATAGAAAACCACACCAAATGTTTAGAAGTCTAAATTTGGTAAGGTTTCACTGATTCCATGGCACAGATGAGGAAGTGGACAACTATAACATTTGGCTTTAAACAATCAGTGGATGGCAAAGCTGCTAAATAAAATGGGGAACGAGGAGGAAGGACAGGTTGTGGCAGTCAGGCAAGTATGGGACAAGCTGAGTTTTGGAAGCCTGTGGATAAGTGTCTGCCACACCACGAAGTGATAATTTTCAAAACACTTTTTTTAACCACCATCTACCTTGCCCCTAGTACAGTGACAGTCACTCAGAAATTTACTGAATGAACACACTGGGATCAGGAACTCAGCAGCTGGAGTTACTTATGAGAAGTGGGGGGGGGGGGGAGGCCAAAGACTGAAAGGAAGTGGAGCATTTCCCTTCAACTTTCCCATCAAATTCAAATGTCTACCACGTAGCTTTTAAATTTAGGCTTTACAATTTCTTCAATTATGTGGCTTGAACTAAATGTATGAGTAAAATTCAAAGATGACATATAAGCAAGTAGTAAAGGTGCGTTACATACGTAGTCTGTGGAGCTGTAGTTAACTTCTCTAGGACAGTATCTGGAAGGAGTTTTCTTTTCTGAGATAAAGACATTTTAAGAAACAATAAAAAGCGAGGTACGTGATAATATGCCCTGGGTTGCTTCTGAAGTTACCGATTTTCAGGAGAGCCCCAAATCTAAGCAAATAAAGGAATCAGGCTGCGCACTGCCCCCACTACCCCTAAGCTGCGGGAGGATGGGGCCCACGAAACTCAGAAGCTATTCCACCTCGTTGGAAGAGCCGGTCAAGGCCGGAGAGGGTGCCCACCGCATTCCAACCCTCGGTTCGGTTACACAGTGAAAGCACTTACGTTACGTCCGTCTGGAGTCGGTTCTGTGCGGCCAATCTTACGAATATGGGCTAGCGAGGCCCTTAGTTTATAAAGCACCTCATTTAATCCTCACGGTAACCCAGGTTCAGACAAAACTACCACCGCGAGGCTCGCTGACTAAGGGGTCACGGCCAGCTGAGCGTCAGAGGCGGGGTTAACCCTACGATTTCACATTCACGCCTCCTCCCACTCTCGTTCTCAATCGATGGAGAGCAAAGAGAAGGAGCATCTTTGCTTTCACCGTTGTCAGAAGAAATATTGGCGACTTTTCCCCCGCCCCGCATGCTTCCAGCTTCGGCCTCAAACACGGGATTTCTACCCCGAGCCGGGCTGTTTCGAAAAGGAGACGCTTCCTACCCTCTAACCTTCTGTTCGATGAACAGCTCCTCGCGTCGCTTCCTCTTCTCCTTCAGCAGCGCTTTATCCCTGGGACAAAGGGGGACAAGTCAGCGCAGGGAGGGACAGACAGGACAGGCAGGGGCAGTGCTCCCGGCCGGCCGCGGGCTCCGAACCTGCGCACCGTCTCCCGAACTCGCCGCTCTTCTTCTCTCGCTTCTGCCTGGGCGCTGGCGAAAGTCAGCTCCTCCGGGGCCTCGTCCTCGTCAAACTCACTGTCCCCCTCCTCGTCGTCCTGCAGCGGCTCGGCAGCCGCGCCGCTGCTGGGCTGCCCGAGCAACAGTCCGTGCTCCGCCTCCTCCTCCGAGGCCGGCTGGCCCTCGTCCACCATCGCCGACGCCGACGCCGGGGTGCGGGACACGCGCGGCCGCAGCTGCACCATGACCCAAGCGGCGCCACACCGTTTGGCCTCTGACCCGGAAGCAGCGCGCAAGCGGAGAGTGACGTGAAGAGCAAGCGTCGCGGGTTCCAGCGCCCCCTGCAGGTGCGGAGGCCCCAGCGAACTCCGCGGATGCGGGAGGCGGCCCCACGACGAGCAGAGGCGCAGGCGCAGAGCGGGGGAGGGCGAGGCCGAGGGCGAGCGGAGTGGGGGGGGGGGTCCCTCCCCGCCCACAGCTGCGAGAGCTCCAGCTGCGAGACCGGGGAACGTGCGGCTGTTTCTAGGCAGCGAGCGTCCATCGTGCTGCCGCGTCGGCTGGGAGGCTGACAGCGGGGCTGGCTGGGTCTCCGCGCTCCTCGAGGCGGGCTGGCGTGGGTCACGCCGTGCGGTGACCGCCGACCCCGGCCCCCAGTGCCGCCTTTTTTAGCCCCGGGATCCGCTTGGTCGGTCCAATTATCAGTATTTGTAGCTTCGGCTCCCCGCACTCCCCGAAGTAGTGCTGTTTCAGAGGGAAGAAATGCGCCATCGCGGCAGGACCCCGACGCCTCTCAGTCCTGTTGTCACCGACAAGAAACGGGGTCGACAGAGAGGCTTAAATCCATCCTCGGCGCCTAACGTGTGCTTGGCGACCTCGGCCGCCTCTCTCAGGCTTCCCTGACCTCTGGAACCCCGGCCACTGCCTGTCCACGCCTCTGTTCGTGTTCATCACTGACACCACTTCCTAACAGTGTATTGTCTGACTCCCCCCATAAGCTCTGAGAGTAGGGACGCCTCTGGTTCCCTGCGGTAACCCCAGGACCTTGAACAGGAGCCGGCCCATCGCAGATCCTGAATTTGGTGGAAGGACTTCACCATTACTTAGTGACTGCAGCCCTAGTACCTTTGTATTTATTTTTCCCCGCAAGTATATTTCATTTCTTGGCATCCATGGCCCTCCGTGATCTCTGTCTGTATCTTCTCCCACCCGTTATACAGTACTAAATGATTCACCATTCTCTGAGCAAACCAAGTGATTTCCTACTCGCCATGCACTGGGGCATGCTGTTCCTCTAGTGACACACACTGCCCCACGTGGACCTCCTTTTTATAGCTTAAAGACTCCCACTCAGGCTGACACCCTCCTAAAGCCCTTCAAGCACCTTCTCATCTACCCCATCCCTACTCTGCTTATCTCTAATTGCATTCTCCCCAGAATCTTGCAGAAATTTCTGTCACTGTAGTTTCCACACTGTATAACAGTTTACACGGCAGTTGTCCCGACCATTCTATGAACTCCTTGAGGGTAGGGTCCATGTCTCACTAATCATTTTATTTCTAACCTCTGTGGGAGATGTTCAGTAAATAGTAAGTTGAATTGAATAATTCTACCTCACGTAAATTTTGTATTTTCAATCTTCTGATTTAGAAGCAGTTCCTAATTTAAAACAACCAAACCAAAACATGAACAAAAATGACAAAACGGAAACCAAAAGTGCCGCTGGTACCACAAGCCTAGGATGAGAAGAGTTTCAAAGAACAGTTCTGAAATATCTGGGCCTCGGTCAGACCGAAATTACCAATTAAAAATATAATCAGAGTCTTTGAGACGCTAGGAAAATGTATAAAGTTAACTTTGAGAAGCCCGAGGACAAACCTATTAAAAGTGAATGGTGGTATTTTATCTGCAAAAACTGCATTATTAATATCCCAAGACCCCTCAGGGTGCACGCCTAAGCGCCCACGTAGAATATGAATGGAGCCCTGAGGGTGCGCGGCTGGTCCTTCAGATTCCCGGTAGGTTCTGCACCTCGGCAAGGGCTGAGGTGCTGTGGCTGGGTGCGCAATCACCCAGGGAGCCCCCTGACCCCGGGGACTGTGTGACCTTCCTACGCTGTTTACTAAGGGCCACGGTCAGGCCTCTGCCCTTGCCGGCCATCAGGCATTCCAAGGGCCCTGCGTGCTGCGTCATGTGACGGGACCTGAGGAGCGAGCTGTGTTCTTACTACTTTACGCCCAGGTAAGACGAGTGTAATTTTTTCAAGTCCCACGGGAAACTCCCCCTTCAGAAGTCAGCGTCTGGGAAAGCTGGGCAGCCCGCGCAGGGACTGTCTGCTTCTGTGTTTATGAGACTGAGAAGCTGTCACGCGTCCCTCTCCCTTCCCTCGTGGCCAGAGCTGAACTTGAGGCGGCCGTGTCTATCCTTGGCGTCCAGAGATCTGCATCAGGCTTTTCCTCATCCTGATTTCTACCTTGCTGCTCCTTTTCGCTTCCCTTCTTGCGTGAGTTCTGGTTGTAAGCTGTCCTGCATACTGTAAGGTAAGGCAGCCAAACAAGGTAAACGCTGAAAAGAAAAAGCCCCCCCACCCCACCAAAAGCATCTCTTGGGGTAACATCTTCATACAATAAATTACCTACTGTAGAGAGTGATTTTATTTTCCACCAAAACTTGTGCAAAAATCAGAAATACTAGGGTTTTATCCCTCTCCTTCTATCTCTACCCAAAGAGCAAAAGTACAATCAGAAGAATTACATTTTTTAGACAATCTAATTACAAATTTTTTTCCTTCCCAATAACCAACCAATCACATCAGAGGTATCTTATGTTTAAGTTCAAACCAAACGGCAGGCAGTAACTTTACAGTGCTCTGACTTCTAAATACGTTTGCTATTGATACTTCAAAGCCCCCATCATTATCTTATCAACAGGGTGGGTTCCAGCCAGGGAGTCAGAGGATATTTTTACATCTCCCAATATTCAGCTCACATCCTCAGGACCGTTTCTCCTCGCTTTATGGCCTAGTACACAGACGCACTATAATTTCTTCCTTCTCCAGGACAATTAAGAAACAGTTTCGGTTTCGTGAGGAGCTAGGGCTTCAGGAAGAGTCGTACCACAGGGCCCCTGGAAATGAAACCTGAAACAGAAGGACACATGCGGCAGAGTTACGACCAAGATGAATGGAGCACTTCAGCAAGGCACACAGTCCTGAGTTACACCTGGAGTAAAATCCAAATTCTCACAAATATGGTAGTAGGAATTTTCGTGCCTACTTCCTTCATCTAGTTTCTGACAACTCAAGACGTAGATGCCTCACTATGGGTTGGCCCCTGTGACTAAGGGAATTTAGGAAAGCACCTGCCTAGAATTTATGTGCTCTAAATAAGAATTTTATTTTAAGGGGTAGGAGGAGGCATGATTCTAAAGTATATTTTGTGATTGTATTGCCAAACTCATACCTGCCACTGTAAGTTTTAAAAAATCTATATACTACACTAAAATAGCATTCACATTTACTAAGGACAGAAGAAAGACCACCTCATGCACCACGCAGACCATGAGGATTTCAGCTGAGTCAACAGCCTCCCAGACCATCTACTGGACTTCATGACTAGTTCTGACTTCCAGTCAGAAGATAGAAAAACAGACAAAGAGGAGGAAGAAAAAAGAAGAAAAATCAATAATCTTTGCCTCTTTCAAAGGAAGACACTTAGGACAGGGGGAAAAAAGCCAACTCTGAATGAGAAATAAAAGCAGGATGTTCCAGTGTATTATTAATAAGAAAACCAATTGAGCACAATTTAAAATGGAAAAAGCATTTGCTCGATGTAATTCATCATTCACATTATTTATTCTTGAGGCAACACAAGTCGTGACTGCCTTAAGCCCTCCATACAGTTCTCTCGCCAGGGTGCCACTAATGGATTCCCCTTGGTGCCCATGGTGCCCAAATGGCCTCCGACTCCTGCCGCCGCAGCAGGCTGAACGCTGGCTGACAGAAAGCTCCTCGTGAGCACAGCGGCTCCAGTCCTTTGAGGACTTTCCCCAAATTACAGCCAGGCAGGGAGAGCTTTGAGGGACTTGCCATATCCTCAACTTCCATATGTTCTCTGTCCTGAGGAAGTCCATTCAAGCGTGCCTTCCACAGTCACCCTGCTCCCACTTTACAAAAGCAAGCTGTACCCCTCACTCAGCCCAGATCTTACAATGGTGCCATATCCCAGACAGCAAAATCAAATAAAGGGATGTGTGAAATGTCAGAGTAGAGCCAGCCCCCATGGCCTAGTGGTTAAAGTTCCGCACGCTCCACTTTGGTGGCCAAGGTTCAGCTCCCAGACACCGAACCACACCCTCCATCTGTCAGTAGCCATGCTGTGGTGGCAGCTCACAAAGAAGAACCTGAAGAACTTACACCTATACACAACTGTGTACTGGGGTTTTGGGGAGGAAAAAGGAAGAAAAAAAAAAAGGGAAGATTGGCAACAGATGTTAGCTCAGGGAGACTCTTCGCCTGCAGGGAAAAAAAAAAGATGCATTTCCAATAAAATTTTAATTTTATGGAATTATTAATCAAAATTTATCATTTATTTGTTGTTTTCAACAACTATGTACTACAGATTACTGCAGTGATAATTCAGTCTAGAAGAATTTTTAATAGAACTTTTTTTAATTTTAAGGAAATTGAAAATAAATAATTCATATGATACTTTGTTGCAGAAGTGTAAAAGGGTCATCAACAAAAGATTTTCTAGCATAAAAATATATTACATTAGTACCAGTTTCTGTGGTGAAAATAGAATGAAAATATCAATTCAAAGAGAAGAAGAAAAAACGTGAAGGTTCCAATTGTTAAAAAGAGCTTGTATATTTATTTTGTACATGGGTGATGGTGGGAATCAAGAGGTTGTGACACTCAGATTTGACTGGATACATTTCAAACCATGATAATGGCAGTGTTATTTTAAAATGTCAGTATTTTATTTCCAATACACTTGGAATAATATCTTTTTCAATGATTTTGATAAAAAAATTTTTATTTTTTTATTTTTTTTAAAACACTCTTTTATAGCATTTTTTTTTAAGATTTTCTTTTTTTATTTTTTCCTCTTTCTCCCCAAAGCCCCCCGGTACATAGTTGTACATTCTTCATTGTGGGTCCTTCTAGTTGTGGCATGTGGGACGCTGCCTCAGCGTGGCTTGATGAGCAGTGCCATGTCCGCGCCCAGGATTCGAACCAGCAAAACACTGGGCCGCCTGCAGCAGAGCGTGCAAACTTAACCACTCGGCCACGGGGCC